CACACACACACACACACACACACACACACACACACACACACACACACCAGCAACGAGAAAGCATAGAAAACATCTCATCATGGAGGCTGTGGTGTGTCACAGTGTGTTCCACAGTGTACCCCTCTGTCCACACATCTTCACTTGCACATGTTCATTGCAATGAGTCATTCCATGGTCTGGTTGGAGATCTCTGGCTTCTCTGACACCCTCTATATTAGGTCCTCCCTGGGCCTCTTTCCGGTTATTCTGTTGTTGCCTTGTGTCATGGGGTGCTGCAGCTTTGGGCCAGCAGGACTGGTCCTTTCATTCATCCCAGCCTTTAGCAGATGATCTAGATTTGGGGGTGGGCCAACTCAGAGCCCTGGATCTGGGCCTGGGTGGTCGCTGAGCTGGTCAGCGTACTGGCTCTCCCTTCTCCGCACCACTAGGGCGAGTTCTCCAGCCTCCAATGCTGCCATCAGGAAGAGGCGGGGTCAGCTCTTCTGTTCTTGTGCCCTCAGGCCAGTTGACCTGTACCCACGCCTCCAGAGCCAGCTTCACTGTGCTGCCCAAGCAGGTTTGAGGCCCACTTCTCAAGTGCTGCAGCTTTCAAGGAGCTGGGCCAGCTCTCTCTGCTCTCAAACCTTGGGGCTGGCACACTGTACTCCCTCTACCAGGTCCAGCTCTACTGTGCTGCGCAGGCAAAGTTTAGGGCTCATTCTCCCAAGTGTTGCAGGTGGTGAGGGGCGGGGGGGGGAGGGCATCATCCCCGAATCTATGCCACCTCACAGCAGAGGAGTGGCAGGCTGGCTTTGAATCATAGTGATCCATATGCCTGTACCTCACTGTTCTGAGATTAATAGTGTGTGCCACCGTGTCCATCAGGGCAATAGTTTTACAAGATAACTTTATTTATAAAAGTATAGCTTTATGTGAGATAATTTAGAAAATGCTGAAAACACTTAATCTTTTGTCAAGACACGTAGCACTTTGGCATATCACATCACATCGTATATCAAGTTTATTGTGATTATAATAAGCATGTATATGACTTTATATATCATTTTAACTTTTGTTATAATATATCTGTATTGCCATATATAAATTACTGATTTTATTCAGTCATTAGATGGCATGGGTTGGGCTCGCATCCGTAATCCTATATTTGTGAGGCAGAAGCAGGAGGATTGCAAACTACTCTGAGCTACAGAGTAAGAGCCTGCCTTAAAAAAACCAAAAAGAAAAAAATTAGAACATTATTAACTAGCCAAAACATGCACATAATTTTCCTTTGACACTAGAGTTCATTCTTGGCATTTTGGCTGGCTGGGCTGACCTGTGGACAGGCTTTGGTCTTTGAAATTAGAATTGGTACCACACTGAGTGTTTGCAGATGCTCAGACCCTTCCTCATACTCCTAGTTCTGCTTCTGCCTCCCCAGTGTTTCTGTGATGTGTGGCTGTGCGTATTGTCTCTGTATGGTGTGTGGCTGTGTGTATTGTCTCTGTATGGTGTGTGGTTGTATGTATTGTCTCTGTATGATGTGTGGCTATGTG